TGCCTCCCAAGAGCTGGGACAGTAAGTACCACTACACTCAGTAGGGGTTTAAAATAAAGATAAAGCTCTGAGGAGCTCTTCACCAGATAGGTAGGAATTCATAAGCTTTCTAATTTTCTAAGTATATGGGCAAGTTTCTGCAAACAGAAAGAACAAAAATCCCTCTGTTTGCTGCATAAGCATTTCATCACCTAGTAGTTCCAACAATCAGTCACAGTTTATGACTGTGACCAACCTATTATAGACAAGAATTCTGTCATCTGGACACAGTGCCACACACCAATGATCCAAGCATTCAGGAGGGCCAGGTAGGATGATCAAGAGTCCAAAGGTTAGCTTGGGCTATACTTGGACTATATGGACAGACTCTGTCTCAGAAAAAGGGAGGAGGGCCAATCCTAACAGTAGTAATCAATGTCATATTTTTAAAAAATGATAACAGGGCCAGCTCAGCAGTTACAGAGGCACTTACTTGGAGAGTAAGCCTGATGACCTGAGTTTGATCGCTGGAACCCAGATAAAAATAAAAAGACTGGACCCCAAAGTTGTCTTCTGATTTGCAAATGTGTGCCATGGCATGCATGCTTCCTAAGCAATAATGCATGTGCACCACACACACTTAAAAAAACAAAACAAAACAAAAAAACTGAAAGCCCAATGTTTCTAGCCAGGTCTGAAAGACTTGCTTAAGACTTAGCCTAGCACAAAACAAAGATTTAAAAAAGTGAAGGTGAGTGTAGTCCACACAGAACCCTCCTTATCCCTCTCCCCACCAGACACAGCCCCCAAAGTGATGATGAATGCTATTATTTTGATACACTTCTTCTAAACCTTAAATGTTTGCCTTAGAAGTTTTAGGCAAGCTCACAGAAGTCTACATAAAATCAAAGATACAAATACATGGAGAGCTGAATGCTAAAGGTTGGACTCCAAGTTCTAAAGGCTGAGAAAAAGGATGAGAATGCCGATTAGGGAAGCACCATTCTGGTGAAGGACATCAAGGGTGAGTGGACTTCGAAGGACTTCTGTTTCAGGAAAACACAGAAAAAAATCTCCAAGAGCTGTGCAGTGGTGGCACGCACCTTTAATCCCAGCACTTGGGAGGCAGATCTCAGTGAGTTCAAGGCCAGCCTGGTCTACAAATCAAGTTCCAGGACAGCCAGGACTGTTACACACACACACACACAAAAAAAAAAAAAAAAAAAAAAAAAAAAAAACATCTGAATTTTAGTATCTGTCAATTAACACTATTGGACCAAACAATAGGATCCTACAATGATGTTATTCTCCAAGAAGCCAAACATGCCCAAGGAGAAAGACAGCAAAGCTGTAGGAACTTTCAGAAAAATCTACAAAGCATAACAAAGAAAGTAGCTGACCATCCAAGAAACCCCAAAGGAAAACAGACTAAAATAGAAACGAAGAACAACTAACTGTATGTGTGCACACATGCCCCACTTGTCAGGCAGGAAGGAATACATCATGCACACCATGGAGGACTTCAGGCATTCTGATCCAACACTCTTCACCTTATTCCTCAGAGACACTGTCTTCCACTCAACCTTGAGGTAGCCTAGCTGCCAGCAGCCCCAGCCAACCTCCTCTTTACCTCTATAGTACTGGAGTTAACAGGCCCATTTGCAGCTAGGCTTTTACATGGGTTCTGGGAATCCAAACTCAAGTCTTCCTGCCTATACAGCAAGTAATCTTACCCACTGAGCCATCTTTTAGCTCAACAGTTACTTCCGGCAATATCTATACCCCTCATTTAAAAAGAAAAGGGGGAAAAACCTAGTGAGATGGCTCAGTGAATAAAGGCTCTGACCACCAGACTTCCTGGTGGCCCTATTATCATCCCTGGGACCCAAGAGAATACAAAGCCAGCAGAATGGGGCTAGAAAGATGGCTCAGAGAAGACCCAAGTTCAGCTCCTAAAACCCATATCTAACTCTAGCTCTAGGGGATCTAATGCCTTCTTCGGGAGTTCATGGACATGGAAAAACAGAAAAACACACACACACCCTTTTAAGTAGAATACAAACCAACATTTTAACATGAGCCACTTAAACATAAAAATAATCACCAAGAGTGTCTATAAGGCTAATCACCAAAATAGCCTCTTAAATGACATAATTCTGAATAGTTTTTACTTTATATTTCCAGGCTCATTTTAGTTTTGTCACTGAATATACTTCCTCCTCACAACACTTCTTCCGAGACAGGGTCTCAATGTGTAGCCCATGCTGGTCTCAAACTCACAGGACTGCCTTGACCTCCCAAATACTGGGATTACAGGAATGTACAGAGCCAGCAGACACGACATACAGCAGACTTTTTTCTTTCTCTCTTGAGGGCTAGCTTACAGTCCATGAGTCTCTGTGACAAGTATGAAACAACTCAACTTTCTATCCCAACAGCAAGCACAACTGCATGTGCCTATATCCCAGTAAAACCTTATTTACAACAGGCAGCAGGCAGGACTTGACCCGAAGGCTGTAAAGTCTGAAATAAAGGAAACGAAAGTACTTTCCTTTTTGAAAACAAAACACGACTTATACTAAGTCCACTACATAAACTGATAGTACTCATGGAAAAAAAAAAATCCATTTGGTTTTTAAGTTTACACAATGAGCACAAGGATGGAAAAACACAAACTCTGTAAGCTCTGGAAATCTTACTCTCATCCACAGAAGATAAAATCTGCCACTAAGTAGCCCAAAGCCTGAAATATAAACTGGTGAGTAGCCAGTTACAGATAGACGCTGGGAAGACACCTTCCATATTTAATTTGAACTTCTCAAACTTAATGATTTACCATCAATTTGCTGAAGCCTAGGTGCGGAAGTCCCTGCTGCTAAAATAATCTCAGTTTACAGTTAATTCACAATCAGCACTGCTACATTCTACAAGCAGTGTAGAAGTGAGCTGGATATGTGATAAGACCTTAAGGTGGCCTCTGGTACAGACACTTGAGACTTTAAAACTCACAAATTTATAATTCCCCCCTTTAAATATTAAGGCTTTGAGTTTTATATTTTGAGTAGTAGTGATACAAACTTTTAATCCAACCACTTGGGAGATGGAAACAGGTGGATCTCTGAGTTCAAGGCCACCCTGGTCTACATAGTGAGCTCCAATGAAAACATATTTTTAAAAACAAAACAAAAAACCAAAAAGCTCTGAGTGAGCATTTGTCCATGATACCAGGAGGCAGGATTAACAATTTAAGACTTGCCTGAGCTACAAAGATACAGCTATTTCTCAAACACACACACACAAAGTTGAAGGAAGTTCTTTTTAACTTTTTCATTAGGCCCAACGAGGTAGATGATTCATTCTAGCACTCAGAAGGCTGAAGCAGGATTCTTGTTAGTTTGAGGCAACTGTTTGGGCTACAGAGTGAGATTCTACCACTCCCGCCCCAAAAAGAACCATTTAACTGGGAAGAGTTTTATGATCAAATAATTTTAAATATCATAAAAGACTTGGCAGTACTTTTAGCTTGTTTCTTGGGGAGAAGGGTAGGCAGTCTGCTTTAGGAAAATAAGAGTGAAGACAAAAACACAAGAATGAAAGATGGCAAGATAGCTAAGTGAGTAAAGGACGTTGCCATGCAAAATTTTAAGGCCTGGCCACCTGAGTTTGATTCCCAGAATCCACATAAATATAGACAAGAACCAACTCTAAAGTTGTCCTCTGGCCTCCACTAGTGTACCATGGACACACACACGTGCACATACAATAATAAACTGACGATTTTAAATTTTTCTAAAGTTTTTTTAAACGAGACATCTAGAGCAAAAAAAAAAAATAAAATAAAACTAAAAAAAAAAATCATTCTACTAAAATAGTAAAACCTCCAGTGAAACACTGTACCTATCAGATCCCAGCTGGACATGTAATCTTTCAACCAAAAAATTCACTGCTCAACCCTCTGACAGAAGTTTTCAAACTCCAAAAGCAAACGTTTAAATCAAGGCCAAGGAAGCCAGAAGAAGAAATGCATCGACTGTCTAAACAACAACGCTCTCTCACACCCTTCAAAACTTATTTTATAACCGTTACCAGCAATTCCCTAGCAAGCTAACTCTGGCAGGTATAAAACCCAATGGGGGCTGAGAACTGGGCCCAAGAACAACTATCCCGCAGGGACTGCCACCTAAGAAGAGGTGAGGGCAACCTTCCCATCCCAGCGGCTGGAAAAGTAGCTCCGAGCACAAATTTCCGAACGAAGCAAGCCTGGCCCGAGAAATCCCTGCAAGTGGCAGAAGACACCAACTAGACTTGGAGCGGGAGGATTCTCGGCGCGGGCCGTCAC